TATACAGAACATTTCCAGTGCTACCGAAATTTTTTCAAAATAGATTATCGTAATTTTGTTTAGATATACAAGTATATGAAACTGTTAAATATACATACAAATATACATATTCTTTCTCTAAATATATTTAATACATCTATATTTTGCGCTTATATAATTATATAAGCAAAAAATAAATGTACTAAATGTTATAATTTATATCTTAAGAAAATATGAGCTTCTCAGAAATAAAATTGATCAACTCTATAAAACAATAAGAAGTAATCAATAAAACATTAATGAAGTTATAAATTACTTATATTTCCAATATTAAATATATATGGGTATAAAGATTGAGAAATTTATAAAAAGTTGATCAATTTGATTTCCCAGAGAGTCATACGTCATTTTTCCTTATGATATATTAAAACTTTCAGTTAAAAAATCATTAAGTTCAAATTAAAAAGTAGCAATGCTGTTTCATGGCACGTATTACGGAACTGTTCGAGGAGGGGGAAGGGGGAATACTATGTGAAATTAATCAGTTATTCTTAAGATTTATATTGTATTTTCTAAGGAAAATGGAATAATTGCGATCGAAATCTATTTCCGAATATTTTTATATGTACCCTGTATCCCGATTCTGTAATGACAGTTCAATATTATTACATTATTTTTGCGCAGCTTTTTTTATCATATAATATATGCGACGTCAAACGACAATATAACGATTCTAACACTGTTATTTACGCGTTATAAAATACAGGCACTGTATTCACGTGATTGAATGCCGAATAGTTTCAAGGACATGTGGATTAGTTCGCATTAACTTCAGATTAATCCAGAGTGACGCTCAACATGCTATAATGCGTGATAAATCCCCCATCGACCCAAAATCGTGATACAATTTGCACTTCCGACTCCACAAAATTTGCATTTGTGTTAGATTTCCGTCCGATCTGTAATTACTATAGACGGTCCAATCGGCCGACACACGCAAACATATCACTTAAACATATCAGTGTTCCCTTTTACGCGAGGGATAAACGAGTCTTCTTTCGCGAGGAAGAAGAGAACAAATCGACACGCCGAATGACGAACGTGCCAGCCGGGAAACGAGTGACATTTTACACAGGCGAACGTGGACGACGATTGTCGTGGCAAAAAGAATCGCGCGGACGTGCGGCGACATTTTCCACTGCGGTTATCGGATCGCCCGTTTCTACGTATGAAAACAGAGGTATTCTGGGTGCCCGCGCGACAGCTATTTTCCGAATGCCACTGATTTACGTTCTTTTTTAATGCTTAACTTTTCTACCACATTTTCGACGAAAGACCGAACGAAATTTGGGAACATTTAACGCACGTGACATCTTTCATATAATGCCTTCTTCTTTCGGATAAGAAGAAGGCGAGGCGAAAGCGAGATACTCTCCAAATTCGTATTCTATATGGAAAGAACGATTTTGCTAAAATGTCTAAAAATTTAGATATAGATCTAAAAATAATTTTATTAAATTATCAAAAATTAAATTATGTAAAAAATTAATGTAAAAATTTAATTATGTAAAAAATGCTCAAATTGATTGCTAGAAGGTCAAAAATTGTTTGTAACATTGTTTATTATACTGTTAAAAATAAAAAGCTTTTAATTTAAAGACGTATAGTGAACGCACATTTTGTACAAAAAATGTTAACTTTAACATTTTTGCGTGTCTCAAAAAGTTCATTATACGTCTCTAAGTTGAAATTAACTTTAATTTTATTTTTAACAGTGTATGCTTGAGTTTCTTACATAATTATTTTAATGATTCAACAAAATTGTCTTCAGATCTGTATCCACCTAAATTTTTTAATACTTCAGTAAAATCGTTCTTTCCGTGTAGAATCCAAAATACATGAGACATGCGAGTTTCGGAAGAAACCACGTCAAGGCCCCTAATATGCATATTTATCGTGACGTACAACATCTAAAGGTTTTACAGGATTTGCATAGTAATGCGTCTTATAAAGTAACTCGGAGAGAGAATGGAAGCGGCACAGCGCAGCACACAACGTCGTCTCTTCTGTTTCGAGAATCCTGATGAAGGATCGCTCATCGAAAGAGAAAGTCGGAAATGGAGGGTAATCGGTCGTTGGAAATACAATTTGCTCGAGAATAGACGAAGGATGAGGACAGCGAGCAAAGGGAGAACGATAAAGACGCAAGTTACCGAAACTAGAAGGAACTTGTGTCACCGTTCCTCGAGGGCTGTCCCTCGAATGGTTAGAATCATCAGATCCCTCCGCCCGTTATATCCCGCCAGGTAATCCAACTGCGGTATGCCAAGTTAAGAAAGTTTTTAAATTACGAAAGCGTATCTATATGCGGCCGCTGCAAGTTAAGTGTAATGCGAAGCACAGAGCATGTCAAATAACCTTCCGAAAGCGAAATTATATACTCCGAAAGAGCGACAATAGCCAGACTCTTATTGCATACCATGTAATAAGGGTTATCCTTCGTTTCTTTCTCATTTGAATACCGTGTGAATCTTCCTTTTGCGTCTATCTCTTTTTATATTCGTAAATATTCGTAGGAAAATTTAAAGAATATAAAAATACAAAATAAGTGTAATTTCTTCTTGATCACGAATGCTTATCTATGTACAAATGTTTCTATCGATTATCATCAAATTTTTAAAAATTTTGTTATATGGCAAATTACAGAGAACTCAGTTTTAACGATTGACAAAATATTTTAGCAACAAGAACAAAATAATAGATAACTCTTTCTAGGTTCATAAAGTAGTCATTTTAATAAAATTTTTGTATCTGAAATAACTACTTTTAAAAATTGAGAACGACTGCAGGTTTTCATATAATTTCTGTTAAATAAGAATTTAAACTTCGTTAAAGGCTGCTAAAAAATTTACGTGTTTTTTAAGAGAGGACAAGTTGTGTAATGACTTGAAGGACAAAAATAATCGCGTAAAATTGAACCGAAGTGATAAGTAATTGAAGCTACTGTCGTAGCACGATCGTTACATAACACCGGCGTTTTATCAACAACGAACGATCGATCACCGTGGATAAATTACGAAAAGCGGATATCCGTCGATATCGCAAGGACATACCAATCTTCCCGGACGACATTGGAGACCATTCATTTTTTTTCTCGTACCCCTTCTTCCACTTAAATTCTACTTATGAGTATCGGGTTAGTTACCTCGGCCTACGCATTACCGATACGTGTATGTACCTTCTGAATGTCGTTTCATGATTCAAGGTTCGATCGTTTAGTATCATTAACGCCGTATGCCTTGGAATCAAAGAGGGAGCAAGAATGTCCCTTGACTATGACGACCGTAGGAAAACAAGGGGAAGTAACCAATGACAACAAGTAGATATGTACAAATAAAAAAAATTTTATACGATATGGAACTTTACGATATAGAAACCACATTTTGTATAATTCGATTAAATATTATCGCAGAACACATTTGACATCTCAATCTAATAAGAAAAGAAATGTCAATATTTTTAAATTCATAAAAAATTCACTTCATTTAAAAACAGTTTGTTCAAGATAAAAGTGTTGACATTAAATATGCGAGATACAAGAGCCGAGAACAGAACTTTAAAATCTAATTGAAATTAAAGATCACGGGGAACACAGGGAGAGACAAATGAGACTTTTACAAAACTCAAATTAGCATAATAATGAAGCGCTAATGCAAAAGTCATCGTTTTCATTTCTTTTGTCTTATTCTTTATCTCTTAGTTTAGTGAGAGTGGTCGGACATGGAGAAGGCGAACGCGTACTTTCTTGGGAGGATAAAAGCGTTAGCGAGCGGAAGATAAAACTTTCGGACCAATGAGTTCTTACCGCGGCCGGGGACGCGACGATACGCCGAGGAGAAAAGTACCTCGTTCGAGAAACGTGTTGCCGCTGACGAAGAACAATGCACACAAATCGTTCGTGCTTGTCAAGACAACTTTGTCTCAGGAGTTCACGCAGTAAGTGCACGCAAACGCCGCGGTGAGTAAGAGAAAGAAATAAGAGTTCGGCGAGTTGGGTCGAGCCTGGGAACAAGTGAAGAAGAGAGCGATCCTTCCTTTACAAACCGCACGAGACCGTAACTTCTTTGCAAAAGCCTCACGTCTCTCGACGGTAAGCTTTCGGGATGTGTACATGACGTGATGAAAAAATTTACGGACTGATTTTGTTTCTTCAATAACAGTAACGTTCACGTTCTGTATGTTATCTCTTTTGAATTAATCTTCTTACGAAGTACCAAATTTAACGTTCATACTATAAAAGTCCATTTTATTTTCAAAAATACATTTTTTAACGCTCCGTCTACAATCTGGGTTTTTTATAAATATATTTCACACTTTTTCTTTCTAATTTTTACTCAAATTTTTATTAAACAAAGATTTGAACATTTTAATTAAAGAACTCAATTGTTAATGTAATAAAATAGTAATATAATAGAAATGTTGGAAAGTAACCGTGAATTTGTCTACATTTTTCAAAAAGCTAAAACAGTAAAAAAACTTGGACTGAATAAAAAACCTTGATTGTAGGTAGCAAAAATATGATTGCAAATGGAGGGTTAAACGTAGTCAATGCAATTCTTGCAATTTTTGTTAAATCACTGCTCCATCATTGAATCATCATAAAAACTATAGCCCTACAATTTTATATTTAAGTATTATATACGACGTTATATTGAAATAAAGATTTAGTATTTAGTTTAAATACGTATTTTTGTAATAAGATTATATATAAACTATACCATATTGATTAAATAGTCTATTATATATATAAATGAAAGATGTATAAGATATATAAGATATATACATATATATTGCACGTGCATGTGTATATGTATGTGCGATCTTATCTAAGATGAAGAAAGCTTCTTTCGGGTCGCGAGAGAGCTTCTAATACTTCTAAGAATAAAAGATGTATGATCGTAAGTCTTCCCGAGGATCGATTCGTCGTCCAATGGTTGTTGAAAGTGCTAAACACGTCGTACGCATCTATATATATTCCAAGCTTTAGGTAACGAATAGCAGCGATTTTATATCGTAAAGTTCCACGTCTATTCGTGGCAAATAGAACAGATCGATGTCGCTGCGAGAGGAATTCCTAATTCATTACCCGAGTCCATAATAGAACTATTTTCCAAATGCAGTCTCACACGATCGTGCATATTAATCAGCCTTGTATAAACCTATATAGATGGTAATATCACAAAGCAAATGATTTATGCATTCACATGAGCTAAGCAATATTACAGGCACAGAAAAGCCTCCATCGTGATTACGTATATATGTATATGTTATATACATTCAAGGAGCTTGAGAATCTCACTAGAACTGTTACTTTTATTTTTATCACTTTGCGTTAAAAATAATCGTTAATTTTTTACGTTTAATCGTTAATGTTTATTTTAACCATTAATCGCTAGAAATCTTCTTGAGACTCATTAGGTACTCCACTAGAGAATAACCAACACTCAATATATTGAAAATGGAGTGCTAACTTTTGCAGAGAACGGTAGAAATATTGACTATTCATCACGAATTACATTCGCGTTTCATACTGTGTGATTACACCGATACACCTACAACCCTTTTCTCCATACATATCTCAATGCGAGGACGTTGCAATCATTGTGCGATTGCATAATTATGAAAGCAAGGTTGCGCGGATGACTCAATGAAAAGCCTAATACTTTATTAATGATACTGTATGATAATGCACGTATGTAGGTGCGAGTGTGTATTTCGCGTTGTTGTTTCTGTATATAGTAAAATGTCAGTCTCACGATTGATGCTGTCACCATAGGCAGTTGTGACTTGCCAATCTCCCTATTTTCCCGGGATCGACGGAGTTATTCGAGGCCATCTAATCTTTTTCGAAGCGCGATTACTTGGTGCGAAAGGTTATTATCGTAATAAAAATTATCACTGTTTAAATATTAGCTTTATGCTACGTGTTTCTTGAAGGCCCGTAGGCGTTACATCTTTCGGTTTCGCGATAATGAAGAAAGTAAAGACCGCTCGGCAAACATACCTACAGCATGTTATAATAAAACTGAAAGAAACTTCTTGCACGCGTTTTTCTTTTCATTTAATATGTTAATGAACAATGGCGGATATAATAATATTCATTTCGGTTTCTTCTTTCGAAGATTTTATTACACAGTAGAGAAAAAAACGCATTCATTAGCTTTTAAAAATTATAATATTAATCGTATGCAATATTTTTGTTTCAAAATTAAAGTATAAAATTCATTATTTTTCTATTTTATTTTGCACGATTCGTTAACTAAAACAACAAACTCATATTACTGCATGTATTTTTTAAACAATAAATAGTAGTTTGGTTAACAAGACTCCTTTCTTTCTCGCGATGGAATTATAATACAGTATAATCTCATTCGATGCGACAACAAACGCATAGAATATTTTTTTTTTTTCTAAAAAAATGTAAATTTATTCTTCCTTCCATCGCGCTATTTTCTCGGCGCTTAACATTTAAAAATCAATTTTCTCTCGTGGCGGTACGAGTAAATATTTGCGTCGTCGTTGAATTAAAAATCGGTAAAGCGCGATCTATGCGATGGATGTCGATACGTTTGACTGCACCGATACCAGCCATCGCATTTATCATCGTATATATTTACTGTTCGATTTTTCAATCAGACGTGCATTCTGGCTTTCGGCATGGTTCCCCTTAATTTATTATCCTTTTGTTGTGATCGCCCGTGTAGACGACGCTGCAGGATTCCCAAACAGATCGGCAGCTTAAATTTATCTATAGTTTTTAAAGGCCGAATAAGCGCCAGCGACTATAGTCTATATAGACACTATATCGTACGTTCGAACTTCCCAATAATCCTGGCAAAGCCCCCGGAGGATTTGTCCAATATTTCAATTGGGATGGTAGATGATAATAGAGCTGCTTTTAAACGCGACGCGGCAGAGATAAAGTGAATTAAATTTTGTTGTCCGGCAATACTATAGCATTGCTTAAAACATCGATCATTGAAATTTCAGGAAAATTTAAAAGCTAGAAGATTTGCATAAGAAAGTATTATACGGAATAAGGTAATGTAAACGTCGGTGAACGTTGTCTCACTTAAACCATATGTACTTTAAACTCTGAATATTTTTTTTTCTATCAAGGACAATTTGTAAGTAACAAGAAACACATAGAAAAATTATTCTATCGTTAAGAAAAGTGATTACTCAATTTTACTTTTTCTCTTTTATGTAATTTCGATTATCTTTAACAAGAACATTTTTTTGATAATAATCTTAAAATATGGATACTTATTTACAATACAAATTTTAGAAAAATTCATTATTATGTACATAAAATTAAAATTTATTTTCTTTTAAATTGAAGAATATTATAAAACTGGTCAAAGGAGCGATTTAATGTAATAAGTAAATCGAATTTGTTTTAATTTAATCTTGATTAAAATAGTAATCCTTTCAAACTGTGCGTGCATTGTAATGTATATCAAATTTGAAAACATTATCCGTTAAAATTATCTAATTCTACTGACATCATCTGAGATCAAATGTATACATAATAATGTAAATACATGTTCAAAAAGTAGTAAAAATTTTGAAGAAAATTAAATTTTTAGTGTGAATTACTTATTAAAATGTCCTTAATCTGAGTTAAAAAAATTTTTTTCAACATGGCTCCATTAAATCTGATTTGAAGGGGTTAAACTTACTAGGGGATTCAGAATATATTTTGAATAAATTTGATGCTTGTGATTAACTTATAATAGATTTGCGGATAGATACATGAACTTTTGAAATACTTGAAACAAAAAGTTATTAACTTACAGTATTTTTCTGTGTGCACATAAAAATAAAAGTTACACACGGAAAGAACAAATATAAAAATTTAGCCAGATACAGATTTGAAAATGATTTTGTTGGACTATTAAGGGAGTATGCCTAAGTAAAGGCCTTAAAAAAAGACTTTATTTGTCAATTTTTTTTAAAGTAACTATAAGTTTTAGAAAAAAATATGAATTGATGTATCAATTGGGCACACTTTGAAGATATTTTAAGAATTTTTATATGTCAAAATATAAATATATGACGATGTTGCTCAACATTGTAGACCGTGTTCAAAAAACATGGTCCATTGGCTGTGTAGAGAATTCAAGTTGTAATTATCTGAAATAAAATTTGTTTGAAAATTTCAAATCTATATGAGTGTAGTTTCAGTTAAGCGTAGCGATTTTTTAAAATAAATTTTTTTTACAAAATGGTTAAAAAAAAATTTTTATTTCACTACATTTTGAACTTCTTAAACATCTCGCTCCTTGAAAACTAATTAAAAAAAAATCCCTACGCTTAACTGAAACTATACGTTTTGTGAAGCTACTCTTCAAAGCTGAGCCCAATCGGTCGAAAATTTTTCGAGTTATAGACACAGCCAGTTGAAAAAGAAAACACTTTTGAGAAAAACACATTTAAAGTTTCAGTATTGCATATTCAGCACTGAGCGCTCGTTCCCTAAGTCTCACATAACTCGAGAAATACTTCGAATTTTATAAAAACCTTTTAGGAATATATTTTTAAGACATCAATCTTTCGGGAAAAAAATTTTTTTTTCGATTTTTTTGAAAATTTTACTTAGGCTTACCCCCTTAAACTAAAATGTTGAAGCATAATGCGATGCTGCAATAAGTTTAATTCTAGCAACCAGCTCGTGCGTCCTACATAATTATTTTGATAAACTAACAAAATTATTTTCAAATTATTTTCAATTATTATCATCTGTACTTATTTAAATTTTCAAATATTTTAGCAAAATCGTTCGTTCCGTATAAATATCCGATATGTTAAACAACATTAAATATCGTGTTTGCGTTTGCATAATCTGTATATATAAATGACAAAACTATTATTACTATGAATTAAAATTAAATTTCTTTAGAATTCTGTGGAAACACTTCATCTCAACCAAATTGCTTGAAACGAATGCATATGCAACGGAAAGTATATGTAGTTTCAGACACGATAAAAATTCTAGTTGAATTGGAAATACAATTGGCTAATAGCGAAATAAATTGTACAAAGTGGTTCAAGATGCACAGCGTTCTCCGCCGTTAGCCATCCAGAATTCCACTCTATGCTCCATGTAACACATTACTAAGTCAGTTAAAACGCCGTTAAAAACTGAAGTTTTCCTACTATTGCAGTTCGCGAAATGACTTTTATTTTCGATTGAAGCTCAAACTCCGGTGTATTTTTCCACGCTGGATGTCGCGACAGCAGCAAGCGTGAGAAGGAACGGCGCGATAATAATCGTTGCATGCTCCGTGTACGTAAATAGTTTGCCTTGGATGTTACCGCGATAGAATTATTTATTATCCTTTTATGTGCACGCATGTTGACGTTGGCACAGTGCGTATACGCGGGAGTTGCGTAACGTTACAGAGACTTCGCCCTTCCTCCTATCCCAGTTCTTTTCGTGCTTCTAAAATACATGTGTGTATACAGTTTCCTCGTTACACCAATCAGTTATCACACACATCTCTCTCTCTTCTTCAATTTAAACGACTCACATATGTCGCGCACATGCACATATAGGCGCAAGAGAGTATGCGCACGCATGCGTTTAGGATTATATGATTAATTAATGACTTGGTGTGTCGAACGTTACGACCACGGTTGAGCTCTGTAATTGCAACGACATAATCATGTCAATTGACATCGCTCAAGCTAATAATTGATCGGAATAGGAAATTACACGCAAAACTGTACATGCATGTACAAACACGCAAGCGACATTTATGCGAGATGCATGACAAGCAAATAAGAGACACGATTTAGAAAAACAACTGCGTCGAGTAAACTGCAAAAGTGTACTATCTAACTATAGAGTCTTATCGAGATTCGAGGTTCGAAAAATTGCACGAACTCTGCAACGAAACGCGATGGAGTGGTTTTATAAATATAACATGCATGAATACTCAAGAGCGAAAGTAACTGATTTTTATGATATCTAATATACTCATCTTAAATTGTACGGTAATTTTGTTTGAGAGTATATAAATTTTTTAATATATAAACCTTAAGGTCTACGAGAAACAGTGTCAATAAAAATTAGAGAGAGAGAGAGAGAGAGAGAGAGAGATCCTTAATATCTCTGCTATTATATAGCGAATTTTAATGATTACTTATGGAATTATTAGTTCAGCAGCTCGCCGTTACACTATGTGATGACGCTAATATTACCAATACTCAATAACCAGCACTTATAACGCATTTTTACTTTCAAGTATTTCGAAACGTTTCTGAGGTACACACTTTAGCATTTAATTACACCTACTTCCCCCCTCATTTTTCTTAAACTTCAGCGTATTATCACATGAATATATATATTTTGAGTGTGTTATTTGCTATTTAACATTTTATTTAACTGTATATATTTTGAGTTATGCAAATTTAAACAATACCATGGTATTTTGCTAATGTGCCCCTCTATGGATATTGATTACTCACGACCTCATTTTTGAGATTTTCATATCAAAAGTTGCACTATTTGATGCACAGTATTTGATAATTGATTGTAGCTCTACTGTTGATCTATAATTTATATTATGTGTACTATTTTTAGTATTGAGATTTTTAGTACTGAATAGCTTATATGCAGAAGTTATGTGAATGTATATACATTCATTTGCATACATTTTAATGTTTTATTTTTTTGTTAATTTTGTAACTAAATACTGTTTTCTAAACAAAACTAACATTTTAAGGCTATTTTTATGGAAGGCCACATTACCACCTATTTTTTTCTTCGAGTCATTATGCAATGTCGTCACATTTTTGTTAATAGTATCCTAAGTAATAAATATTTCGGAACTTTGAGCTCAAAATCGATTCAACAACATTTTTAACGAATGTAATTGTCAAGTTTTCAACTTAAATATTGATTATTAACAAAGTTATCGTGTAAAATGTAACTAGGGTGCCATAATACCACCTTCTCCCCTATATTAAAAATAATAATAAAAAAATATTACCTATTTATCGAATAAACTTCATAGTAACCAAATTTTACAATAGCAAAAAACACATGGATAAACTAATAAAACAGAAAATAAATGTCGCAACTCGCTGTCTTTTTTAAATCTATGTCATTAAAAAATGTATTCAAATGCATATTTTTTGTACGATGTAAAATAATGTTAACATTCTTCTCATCTCTAATAATGTTAACAGTCTAATTCCATTATTTATTCCAATATATTAAAGTTGTGAATTACGCAGAGGGGATCTCACACGATATAGAAGCTAAACACATGAATATGTGTACCAAGAGTTCGCTAATACTACATCGCTCGGGAATCATAAAACGTACCATTACGATCAGCATAATGCACAAAAATTACCGTTCGGCGTTGCACATTACCTACCGAATTTTGTGGTCGACGCGGGTGGTGTAAAGTAGCGAGTTTGAGTCACGTGCCATCGTTAATAGCGGACTAGCATAATAGCGGGCTTACAATGCAGAAATTAAACGCGAAATTACCATAAATTCAAATTTTATGTATCGCGTTAACAACATCGACAAATCGTAAGAGCAAAACGTTAATGCTTTGGCGTATAAAAATATTTATATATCAGAATTTTTTTAATTCTAATATTATAAAGAAATCCCTTTCTTTCTCTCTCTCGACTTCTAAATTATAAAATCACATCTCGGGGAAAGTTGCCGAATGCGTACCACTTAACCTATTTTTTATTATATTTTCCATTTGGCACTGTTTTATATGCAAATGAACATTAGAAATTGTAGCTTGACGTTTTGGACGCTTATTATTACATGTTTAACTTTCCACCAATAACAAATTAATTTGTTATAAGTCTTTTTGTAACATGCTGCAAAAGATACGATTTAGGCAACCGGTCGCCTAAATCGTACCTATAGGTATTTTTTATCGTATTTCCTTTGAAAATATAGCGCCATAACGGTCAGAACGTTAAGATGTTGAACTATTGTAAATTCATTTAAATGAATTAATTTCAGAAATGATAATTGCGTGCCGATATGGTTGTCGGACTTTCAACGCAATCAAATCTGAAAATATTAATAATCCCCCCAAATTCCCCAACTTAAATTGCTTATATTTATTTTTGCAGTTGATATTTATATTGATATCAATTATTAGTTTCATTATTGTCAGTTATCAGCCTTATCTTTTGACGGTACGATTTAGGAAACTTGAATTTTGTAAAAATATCGATTTAATCTTTACAATGGTTGCAAATATGTATATACAGTGAATGTAAAATACTCTACAATAAATCTTCTTTTATAAAAATATAAAAATTTATAATAAAATTGGATGATCGCGTTGTTATCAGCTACATAAGTTGATTAAAAATTAATATGACTAAAAATAAATGTACCTGAGTTTTTAAAACGCCGCTAACATCCATAAAACAAGATGTAGGCTATTATATTTTTGTCTATATTACTTATTTCTCATATATTTTATATTATTGTTACTAAATATTGCTTATATTAACTAATAATATAAAATATTGATAAGGTACGATTTAGGCGACCAGTACACATTAGGCAACTCTCCCCTACATAGAAATTAAAATGCACATTGATATGCATTTTTGTATGAATAATTTAGTTTATCATTTAATTTATTTATTAATCTTCGATCAGTCTGAGCATTGATTTAATGGATATTGAATAATTAATTATTTCGAGCAAGCACTCACATTTGCATCACAAATGACATTTTCTAATAAATAATTTCTTGATAAGAGATAAAAGAAGACTATCACTAAAAAATATATATATATATAGCATAGGGGAGAGTTGCCGAATGTGTACCACTTAACCTATTTTTTATTATATTTTCCATTTGGCAATGTTTTGTATGCAAATGAACATTAGAAATTGTAGCTTGAGGTTTTGGACGCTTATTATTACATGTTTAACTTTCCACCAATAACAAATTAATTTGTTATAAGTCTTTTTGTAACATGCTGTAAAAGATACGATTTAGGCAACCGGTCGGCTAAATCGTACCCATAGGTATTTTTTATCGTATTTCCTTTGAAAGTATTGAATTTATGAATGAAAACAATTAAAAGTATAAGATTAATAAAAGAAATCATTAACTAATACTTAATAATTAATTAATACCTAATAATTAATTAATACCTAATTTATTGAAGAAAATCAAATATTTTAATTATTAAATAACAATAATGAAAAAACAAATGACACCAAAATAAAATTGGCTTAAATATATTTTTGTACTTGACATTTATATTGATATCAATTATTAGTTTTATTATTAGTTTTATTATTGTCAGTTATCAGTCTTATCTTTTGATGGTACGATTTAGGAAATTTCATGGATTTTGTGAAAAATATCAATAATCTTTACAATGGTTGCAAATATGTATAGGTATATAGTGAATGTAAAATATTCTGCAATAAATCTTCTTTTATAAAAATACAAAAATTTATATAATAAACTTGGATGATCGCGTTGTTATCAACTACATAAATTGATTAAAAATTAATATCAGATGTTTTTTTAAAACGCCATAACGTCCATAAAACAAGAGCATAGGCTATTATATTTTTTACTATTATATATTACTAATTTCTCATATATTTTATATTATTGTTACTAAATATTGCCTATATTAACTAAATAATATAAAATATTGATGAGGTACAATTTAGGCGACCAGTACGCATTCGGCAACTCTCCCCTATATCATATTAGATTAACATATTTATATCTTAATTACAGATGACGTTATTTGCCATAGATGTATATTTTTAGCAAATAATTTATCGTTTATGACGAGCACGGTAACAAGTTCGGTTAATCTAATGGCATATTTAAACTTCTTCGTCACGGATATCGACAAAACTAACTTAATCGAGGTCCATAACGATTTGCATATTGTTCGAGGGGGATAGTTCCATTATATCGCGAAAAGGAGCAGCAGGTTCCAAACGCGAACTTTTGTTAGAAGTGTGAGATGTCTACGAGCGTGTCGTGAATATTTATAGGATCCATTGTTTATGAGCGACGCGCCTCTTGCTCTACAGATGGATATACTTGAGAGGCATCAAATTCTGTCTTCTTTGCAGTTTTACCGAAGACATCGTAGAAGATTAGAAAAGTTTGAGTTCCACATTTAAACAATCGTAACTTCTCGCGATTCTTTCTACCTTCTCTTAAAGCAAAATACAAAACAAAATAATATTTGCATTGCTTGCATCAATATTAACTATATATTTTTATCCAAAATTGTTAACTACATTTCTATGATGAAAACCAAAATAAATATATTAATTAAAAAATTCAATTAGTTTTATTTTCTTTGAAGTATCAATATATGTATAATGGGGTTGAAAAAATATCGCGATTGAAAGTTATAGGTATATATAGATACTTGTAGCATTTTTCCAATTTACCCTACATATTTCTAAAAAGCTACATTATATATCAGAATATTGGTAAGGCATAGGAAAAATCAACGGGAATAAACTTCGTCTGAACTTCGTTTCTGATATGAAGGATAGCCTGTATCGCGGCGATGAATTATATCATTCATATGACTACATGTTTCTACATCGTCGTATTTACATACAGAAATTCGAGTGTACTAAATGAGCGAGTGCAAACACGGTAATATCAAGCGTTATGTAACCTTATTGAGCAAAATATTCGATATGAAAAAATCGTGCTCAATGTGAAATACACCGTGACCTCGGGCAGTGTAGACGATTATAGGATCCAAGTCGGCAGACATTGGGGACCTTCTTTGCATCCAGTAACTTTATTTTTTTACGTCCCTTCTTCCTCTCTCATCGTTGAAAGGTGCTTCGCATGCAAATGAAACGTTACATCGTTGTACTTGCGCGGGCGTAATAAACTAAGAATAAAATAGAGAACGTGAGGACGTCCGGGTGCAATGAACGGCATCGCATATTTTTCGCTCTTTTCTCATCTCGCAATTCGTTATTAGATATATCGATCCTAGGAGGTAAAAGATTAAACAGATGCTACAGCGTAGATGATAAAGATATAACTCAAGAATCTGGAGTTGCAGCAGCTTATACGTTATTATTAAATTATTGATTACGCGTTAAATTATTGTATCATAAATGTAGAATTCATAATTTATAAATATACTTAGTAGAATCGTAATTCGTAAATATACTAGTAGAATCTGATCTTTTCAGTTATATTTAATTTCATGAGGATACAACTGTACAAATAAAATAACAATAGGCTCTGACGAAATAAATCAGTAAATTATAATTGCCTTTAAGAGCCAACAGGATATTAGTGTGAACATAATTTATTCTATACAAATATTAATAAAAGTATACGTTTCGATAACTGCATTGATGTAAATGGATGAACTATATGTATACATATATGAGGAGATATACGCAAACACGCTAACATTCAGTTCAACACGTTAGCTATTAAAATAATTTCGACTTGAATAATTCAACGCTTTTGTAAGACTAAATTAAAAAATTTACTATGTCTATATATTATCGATATTAATTTTCGTATTCGCTTAATTGTTATGTTACTGAAGCAAACCCAAACTGTGGTTGACTATCGAAAGTAGTCGAAACGTATACTTTTATTAATACTTGTATAGAATAAATTATTTACACATTGATATTCTTTCTGTCTTAAAGGTAATTATAATTTAATAATATAACTCTATATATATATAT